AAAAAAAAAAAAAAAAAAAAAGGACCAATGCAGGATGATTGCACTTACATGAGATACTAGAGTAATCAAACTCCTTGAGACAGAAAGAATGGTGGGTGCAGGGCTGGGGCTGGGAGAGGAGGGTAGAGAGGTAGCATTTAGGCTGCACAACAGTGTGGCTGTGCTAAACACCACTGAACTGTATACTTAGAAAAGATTAAAACAGCACATTCACTGTTATGTACATTTTACCACCATAAAAAGAGTAAAAGGGCATGACAGAATACTTACACATTCAAATCATAGTAACTCTTCAAATGAATTATCTCCTCAATATACCCATTTGCTACATCTGGAAACCTTGCTTCCTGGAAAGGAGTAAGGACAACATTCTGAGTCCGTTCACCACAGTGCTTTCGAATGGCAGAAACATATATAAGATGACTAAAGTCTAGAAACAGGCTGTAAAGCAGCTCTGTATGGCTTAATATACAGTCTTAGCTCCCAGCTCCACAGTCTACACAGAAGATTACTCTAGGAAGGTCCTAAAGGCCATCTGACTCTCTGTCCCATTTAGCATACCCAGTCTTCATTCTTTCAACAAATACTGAGCATCTCTGCCTAGTCCAAAGACATAAAGTAGAATCCCATACCTGACCCCAGGATGCTTACAACCTAGTGGGCTGGATGAAAAAATCAGGGTTAAAGAGACTAACTGGGGCTCGGGGGTGTGGCTCAAGTGGTAGAGCACACATCTAGTAAGCATGAGGCCCTGAGTTCATACCCCAGTATTGTATAAAACAAAACAAAAAAACAACCAACCAAAACACCTATACCTGTATTTAGCTGTGAGTATGGTTTAAGTGGTAGACGCCTGCCTCCCTGGCAAGATGAAGGCCTTGAGTTCAAACCAAAACAGAAACAGACTAATCAGAAGGCAAACAGCAGCTGACCCTGGACAAACAGCCTGCTTTACTCTTAACAGCCGTGGCCCAAAAGAACTGTGTGTGATGATGGAAACGCTCTCTTCTGTCTGTCATCAGTCTAATGTGTCTACTAAGAATAAACTGATTGATGCCACTGGAAACAGAATTTGAAACTTTGTCAGACATTTAAATGTAAATAGCCACGGGGGCTGGAGGCTGCCATAGTAGATAGTACAATTCTAGGCAATCCAATAAACTTGCTTTTAGGGTTTGAATTTGGAGTGAACTCGAGGCCTTTGAAAAAACTGAGGGGTTTGCAGGATGCCAGTGCCATGGTATGTAGCCAGCACCCAGAGGGCTTCCTGGAGGGTACAGATTAGGAATCTTGGTTCCATTTGTATTTCAGTTTCTCTTCTTTTATTCTACACGACTAGATATATATTACTTAGGAAAACGAAGTACACACAGGCATTTTAAAAATTCATTTTGTAAAGAAAGTCAGTATAGTGCCTACAATTATTCAAGTCACAATAAAAGATAAAACTTACTGTTTCTTTCACTAACAGCGTAATGAGTTCTTGATCGATCTCAGCAGGCTCTTGTTCCCATAGGTTTTCCAGATTGCCCTCCTGAGATCCCTCCAGGGGAAAGGCTGGCCCTGGCTCTTCATCGTCAGTTGCTAACTGTTGCTCTTCAAGTTCTCCAAGAGGATGGGCGGGCTGAGGAGAAGTAGGGCCTGGAATGCCGTCCTGCTGTGGTTCTGGTCTTGGAAAAGCTGGCCTTGGAAAATCTGGCTCTGGCAGGTCATGCTGAAACAGCAAGGGGCCCAGCTCTACTTCAGCATGCCGTTCCTGGGGAACAACCTGGTTTGTTATCTCCAGGGGTGGTTGGTTTAACGCCTGGAAGTAAGGATGGTCTAGCCAGTAGTCTTCTTCGATGGCCTGATCATCTACCAAGGCAGCTGATCCTCCAAGATTTGATAAGAGTTCTGACTCCGAGTCATCAGATGAGTGGTGCTGAATTTCCAAAGGATTACCTTCTGAGAAAAGAAGGCCACTTTCTTCCAATATGACGACTTTCTTCTCTGATCTGGGGTTGACAGTATCATTTGCTGTTTGATTATGGCTTGGTCCAGGTTTGGGTTCTCTTGCTGTTTGGCCACTTGACTTAGAGAATTCGGAGACTCCAGGAGGTCCGAGATCCAGAAATTCACTGTAGTCATCCTCAGAATCATCCTGTGCCCCAGAATCAAACAACGAGGTGTTATACACTGAAAAATAGCTGTTCTTATCTGATTCAAATGCTGCTCTAGACTTTTTAGGCCTTTCTTCTCCCAATCTTTTGAGATCTTGCCACTGGGCAGCTGGTTTGATGAGATTGGGTCGGGATGTCTGAGGTCTATTTGTCTAAGAAAAAATGAAATTTTAGTAATAATAATGATTCAATTTCTTTCTTATGTCTAGGACTCCTTATATACTTATACTGAGCTTCAAAGACTGGACAGAAAAGTAACAAATCCAAAAACATCCTCCCTTAACAAACCTGTTCTTCCCATTTAACAGTGAATGCGACTCCACTATATCGTCTTTAAGAACTGAAGTAGTCATTCACACCTAGACACTTAAGTTATAATTTAATTTCTGAGAGCAGTAAAACAGAATTAGTGGTAGAGGAAATAAAAGAATGCTAGCACACAGAGAAACAAGAAATGCTGAAGAAACATAAAAAGAATCTAGTTAGACAGGAGGAAGAAGTTTTGGGATACTTTTGCACAGTATGGTAGTAACAGATACCAATTATGTACTGTATGTTTCAAGTGAGAAGAAAGAATTTTGAAAGTTTTTGCCACAAAGAAATGATAAATAGGGAGATAAATATGATTATCTTTACTTAAACATTACCCAATGTATACCTGAATCAAACATTAAATGGACTACCATTAATATGCACAAATTTTGTTTTTACATAATACTTAAAAATAAAAAAGGGTTGGAGGCATGACTCAAGCATTAAGTGTGCCTGCCTAACAAGCATGAGGCCCTGAGTTCAAATTCCAGTGCTGCAAAAAAAAAAAAAAAAAGAATTTAAAATCTAAGTAATCAGCAAAATGAAAACTGAAACAAACTTTTTAGTGAAATAAAGTTCTCATACGTCAGGCACCAGTGGCTCATGCCTGTAATCCTAGAGACTTGGGAAGCAGAGATCAGGAGGAACGAGGTTCAAAGACAGCCTGGGCAAACAGTTCTGGAGACCCTATCTTGAAAAACCCTTCACAAAAAGGGCTGGCAGAGTGGCTCAAGGTGTAGGCCCTGAGTTCAAATCCCAGTATCACCACTACAAAAAAAAACCCCCACCTCTCATACTATCATTCACTACTAGTATTTAGGAAGCAATTTGGCTCTACTAATTAAAGTAAAAAATGTATATATGACCATTCAGGATCACTTTTTTAACCTATTCTACAAACCTTTCTGTATCTAAGGTTACTGCTGCACTGCTGGTAGCATAAACAGAAAAACTACAGTCAGTGTCAAGTTGGTCCCTAAGAGACTGGGTAAGTAAACTATTACATATCTGTTCAATAAAATAGTCTATAATTGCACTCTCTGCAAAAAAAAAAGGTAGCTCAGAATATTCTTAAATGAAAAGCTCACCAAGAAATGCCATTAAATGAAAAAAAAGAAAGTTCCAAAACAATACATATACAGAATCCTACTTATTAAAATAAAAACTTAAGACACAAAACCGTTTCTAAAAGTGTGTATACGTCCACATACATACACACATAAATTCTGCAGAGAAGAGCTAGAAGGATTCATGCCAGACTGTTGACAACAGCTCCTCTGAGATAATTCAGGGAAGGAGCCGGGGGAAGAGGAATGTTAGCTTTGCCACTCTTGTTTCCATCCCCGCAGTAAATACAATCAAGTGAATTTAAAAAATTGAAATGAATGCCCAGGTTTTAGGGAGTAGAATACTGGTGTGTCTGCTTCTTCTCTTCTGACAGAAAGGGAAGACAGTGAGTCACAGCATCAAGAATCTATTACAGATGACACTCTGTGTAAGGAGCTGCAGACTGTAGGCATGTGTACTGTACTGTGCTGGCAAAACCAATCCTCTTTTTTTTAGGACAATTGGGAATAGGGAGTAGGAGACTACCAGCTCTACCCGTTTGGCAGCAGGGAGGTTGTGAGGTTAGATTGAATGACACATCTCTGTGGAAGGCAAGCTGTCAGGGAGGCAGGATGGAGACAAGATGGAGCTGTGTGGAACTGGTAACTGCTGTCAGGAAGAAAGAAGTAAAGGCTAAACCAACATAGACACATGTGCACATACACCCCTACTCCTACCTCCACCCCCAGTTCCTGAGCTCTGCTGTTCAATTTAACTCCTGCAGAATTAGTCCAGAAAAACTTTACTGCGTTCACAGTTAAATAACAGTAAAAAAAAAACTGGCATAGAAATTATATAAATATAGCTAAATATTAAAAAAGAAGAAATGATAGATGAATAATATGTATTAGGAAATCAGTGGTATATAGCATATAAAACCTTGACAAACGCAGAACCAAAAAACAAGAGAAGCACTGGGTGGCAGTGGCTCACGCCTGTACTCAAGAGGCAGAAATCAGGAAGATCTGAGGTTTGAAGCCAGCTCCAGGCAAATAGTTCACAAGACCCTATCTGGAAAAAAAAAAACCCAACACAAAAAAATGGCTGGTGGAAGTGGCAGAGCGCCTGCCTAGCAGGTGTGAAGCCCTGAGTTCAAACTCCAGTACCACCAAAACCAAAACCAAACAAAAAACCAAGAAGTAATGAAATAACTATTTGTTTGATATAAAAGCTTGGGACATTTTTTCTGGAGGTACTGGGGGTTGAACACTTGAGTTATACCCCCAGCCTCTTTTATCTTAATTAATTAAACTTAATTTATCTTAATTAATTAATTAAACTAATTAATGTTTTTTTTGAGACAGGGTCTCACAATGTAGCCCAGACAGGCCTGGAACTCACTATGGAAACCAGGCTGGCTTTCAACTCCTGATCCTTTTGCCTCGGTCACCTATAATCTGAGATTGCAGTCATGCACCACTATGACTGGCTTGTTGAAATGTTTTAGCTATGGTTTTGTAGAAATAACGTAACCATCAAAAGTTGGAAGGGGAACTGGAGAAGCTGGAGGTCAAGAGAAACAGTCAAAGCTCATAAATGAATTGAGGAAGATGAGAACAGGATTTAGAAGTACAAAAGTAATCACTAAAAGAACTAAAGAGAGTAAGACAAAGAACAAAGTTTTCAAGTTAGGCACACAACTTCCCAATAGAAATAAGAACCTCAAAGGCACAGGGAATGTATGAAAGATTATTTTTAAAACACTAAAAACAAAGCATATAAATGCTATGACACAACTGAAAACTCTGTCACATTGACAGTATAAATGGGATCAACTCACATATTCAATTTAAAAGATTCTTGAAACAGAACCACAAGGCAAAACCCACGTTCATGCCAACTATACAATCAAGAGGTATCGAGAGACAATGACTTGGAAAGTGGAAGCCCTATAAACAGACTTCTGATTCCAGTAATGGCAGGTGTATCTCCAACCAACCCTTCTACTGGATAAAAGCAGGAATCCTGACAGAATATTTAATCAAAACAAAGCAAAACAAAAACATCTGGTTGAAGGTTTCACATGGGATGGGATCCAGCAGAAGGAGCAAAATAGGTCCCCACATTTCGGATAAATGTTCCTAAAACATGCATTTGTCAATCCCAGACCTGGTTGAAGAGTTCAGTAGATGAATAAAACTTTTGATACCTGTAGTGAGGAGCGAAGGGCATAAAAACTGGAATTCAGAAACTACGAAAGATTCTGGTAAACTTCAAGCTCTGTGGTTAGGCCGAAGAGGGATACCAACGAAGTAAGTGCACACTAGAAGCACGTTAGCCCTCCTAGGAGCTGGACCAAGTTCCATCACTTTAAGTCCTTGATTTTGATATTTCCTACGTCCTTAGAACTTCAAGTACATCATGATGCATGTCTATAATCCCACCTTCTGAGAGGCAAGAAGATCACGAGTTCAAGGCCAGTCTAGACAAAGTTACTGAGACTCTAGCTCAAAAACAAAATTCAAACAAAAGGACAGGAGTTATGGCTCAAGTTTTAGAGCACTTGCTTAGCAAGGGCAAGACCCACAGTACTACAAAAACCAAAAAACAACTGCAGAGCCTTTGTGCAGAAAGAGAACATCATCTAGAACGCCAAAATTTTCTTACACAATGACTTCACTCAATCAAAATTAACTAAGCACAAGAACTTAATGTGACCTTTGGAAACCAAAACAAGTAGCAGTTCCAGAAACATGCACAGATGTTTGAGAAAGTAAAGCCATCACACATATTGTAAGCGATGTTCAGTGTGTGTAGGAAACAGAAGACTAGATTGGAAATTTCAGCAGAGAAGCAGAAGAATCAAAGGCATATTCTAGAGAGACTAGCCTAATCCTAGAATCAATGAATGGATGGATACCATTTTAAATAAATACAGTTGAAATGAGAAATTAGTGAACTGAAAAACAGGTCAAATTAAAACAGCCAGAATAAGGCACAGAGATAAAACTGAGCATTAAATGTAAGAATAACACACATAAAAAATACAGTGAAAAGGTTTTAACAAATACGTACCTGGAATTCTAGAAGAAGAGAAAGAACAAAAATAGTTAAAGACAAAATATGAATAGTAATAAAGTGGGGTTGATTTTTATTTTGAAAATCCAAACAAAATGAATTAAAACTCTCAAACAATAGAAACCTAAGTATAAGCACAGGAAAACAAATATAAATTCTTAACAGCAGCAGCACACATTGCTTTCAAAGGAACAAAAATGCAACTACAGACTGAGTTTTCAACAGAAAAAAACAGAAGCCAGATGACACTAGAATAGTATCTTCCTAGGTTTTAAACTGCCACATAAAATTTTATACTTAGTGAAAAATATCAGCAGACTGTCCACAGAGGATATTCTGAGGTGGTCTTTAAGCAGAAGAAAAATAATCTCAGTTTCAAGGTCAGAGATTAAGAAAGTACCTGGATATGACAATGAATAGACTGCATAAAATAAAAAAATACAGTAGGTTTAAAAAATGTACACAGAATTAAGATATATAACAAAAACAGGACTTAAGGCCTGCCAGAATGGCTCAAATGGTAGAGTACCTGCCTAGCAAGCTTAAGGCCCTGAGTTCAAACTCTAGTGCCTCCCCCATACCCCCCACAAAAAATATTTTAAGTTTGGAGAATAGAATCAAGTGTTCTAAGGTCTTTACAATATCTAGGAAGAGTTGCAAACAGTAATTTAAAACAGTGGTGAACACTTGTAATTCTAGCACTCAGGAGGCTGGAGGCAGGAGGATTGCCTCTGAAGGTCAGCCTGGGTTACATAGCAAGACCCTGCCTCTAAAAAAGAAAATGAAGATAAACAAGAAAATAAAATAGTGCTGAGGCAGAATATGTAGTAATAATAGTAATAAATAGTATTCAAGCAAACAAGCATTTTCATACTCAATAAAGTCAGTGGTTATTTTTATTATCTATCACCACTATTAATTAAAACTTTTTGAAGAAGCACTGTAATATAATTACACAAGAGAAAGAAATAATAAAAGCAGGAACTCTCTAAGAGTCATTATTTGCAAATAATCAGACACAAATTCTCAAGAAATTAAGAGCGAACAGAAAAATGACTATAGATAATGAAAGTAGCTGAGTGTGAAATTAAAAGAGCAACAGGCTTTAAGTTTTTAAGTTAAAAAGTCCAACAGAAGAAAAGATGCCACTCAAAAGAGCAACAGAAAAGATAAAATAACCAGGAATAAGTAACAAAATATGTCTGAAATCTAGATTAAGAAAAATTCAAAATGCTCTGGCTGAGGAATACAAAAAGTTGAACTACATGGAAAAACAAAGTTGTTCTTGTTTAGAAAACAGCAGTATTGTATAAATTGCTCCATAAACATAACAAAATTTGCTTTGTTTTAGATAGATTGTCTATTTAAACTAGAGAAACTGACTGCACAATTCCCATAGAAATATATACAAGGTTTACCTAGGATGAGTGTGAAAACTCCGGATAACAAGGGAAGCTAAGTTCTGCTTGACAGGAGGACACACTGGGATGGGTGCTGTAGTAATTGCAAAGCAGTCAGGTGAGACAGAGCAAGGTGCGGAAGAGCAGAGCAGAAACGGACCACAGCATGCGCTTCTACAGCTAAGGGACACGTGGAAGAGGTGGAAGGGGGCTGGTGCCAGACATGGAGAAAAGCACACAGAGTGTGCCCTTAGTAGCGTTCTATAAGGCCCTGAGAGTGGCTGAGTCACATCACTTGTGTGCAACAGTGCCTCATGACGACAGTTTAAGAAACTCACTTCTGTCAGGATGACATCATCATCCAGGTCGTCTTCATGCTGCTGAGGAGCCGGGGTGACCAGCATTGGAGTCCCTTCCTCATCCGAGGAGTCAGATATGGTGATGGGCCCATCTCTGAGACTGATCCAGTCTATGGGAAGGTCAAGAATGCTGTTATCAAGAAGCCAGCACAATCACATTCCGTCCATGAATTCAACTCTGGCCAGACATGGTTAAGTCTAAAGCCAAGTTCATGGCTACTAGTGTGCTCACTTGCCTCCTCAAAGCAGCAAGCAGGAGCAGCCATGTTTCCATGTTGATTTTTACAATAATATATTCTGGGAATTGCTAGAGAAAATGTTCAAGATTACCAACTTTTCATATAAGGTTAAAGAAATCTGCTGATAAGTATCTCAACTGCCAATTTCTTTACAGTGAAATCATGGCCTCTTTATTCCTCCCAGGAATAAAAGAAATTTATTTAAACTGCTAGGTTGGAAAGAAATTATCACTCAAAAATAGTAAAATTTTCACTTTAAGATTTAAAATATTAAATTTGCTTTTCTTAGGCATGACCCTTAAGCATCACTTAAGCAAACAAATTTCAAGCACCCATTTAGCATCTATGACACTAAGCAATTTAACTTGCCTAGGTTCCTTTTAAGTAGAACTATAGTTTAGCCATTTAGCCATGGTAATTCTGTGCAAGGTTCCTACTTTTTATCTGTATGAAGAAAGATCATGTTTGATATAAATTACTGGATTGAAATTTAAAAACTTGTATTTTTTGGCCTGATTCCATGGGCAATGAAGAAAAAAATGCATTAAGTGTCCAGAAAGAAGGACAGAAGCAGCAGCAAGAAAAGAAAGGGTGATCATCAGTATAATTTCTTTCTTTTTTTCTCCAGTGGTACAGGAGGTTGAACTCAGGGCTTTCTGCTTGCTAGGCAGGTGCTCCAGGTGCTCTACCACCTGAGCTACACCTCTAGCCCTTTCTGCTTTAGCTATTTTTAGGACAGGGTCTCCGGTTTATGCCAGGGCCAGCCTGGACTGTGATCCTCCTATTTATGTGCCACCACACCCAGCTATTGGTTGAGATGGGATTGTGAGAACTTTTTCATCAGGCTAGCCTCAAACTGCAATCCTCTCAAGTAGCTGGTATTACACTCATAAGCCACAATATCTAGCCATCATTACAATTTCTGAAACTCCTCTGCTGAAGTTATGTCTTTCTTAAGGTTAATTTCTCATATATTTTTAGGTACTCTACAACTGTGAAAAGCAATAAAAAAATCAATGATCTGGCTGGACACCACTGGCTCACGCCTGTAATCCCAACTACTCAAGAGGCAAAGATCAGGAGGATCACAGTTCAAAGCCAGCCCAGGATAATCTGTGAGACCCTATCTCAAAAAAACCCATCACAAAAAAGGGCTGGTGGAGTGGCTCAAGGTGTAAGCCCTGAGTTCAAGCCCAGTACTGCAAAATAAATAAATAAAATAAAATAAAATAAGATAAAATAAAAAAATCAATGATCTGACGCCAGGAACAATAGTTTTAAAACAATGGGTATGACTGTGAGACCTCAGGTCAAACTGCCCGTTTAAATCTCAGCTTTCTCTCTCTTTTTTTGGATACAGATCTTACTATAAATCCGAGGTTAGCCTCAAAATCATGACCTTCCTGAGTGCTGGATTACACATGTGCCACCAAGCTCAGCTCCGTTACCTAACTTTTTTTTTTTTTGGCAGCAGTGGGGTTTGAACTCAGGGCCTCATCCTTTCAGGGCATGCCCTCTACCACTTGAGCCACTCCACTGTTCCCTAACTGTTCCCTCCACCACCCTCACCACCTTTCCAGTACTAGAGATTGAATTCAGGGACTCCTAGGCAAGCACTGTACCACTGACTCAATCCAGTTCTCCTCCCTTTTGGAATAGGAGTGTTTATCTTGTGCCACTGTATATTGGAAGTAAGTAATTTTCTTTTTGATTTTACAGGGACTCACTGCTAAGAATCTGTCTTGAGTCTCAGAGGAGACCTTGACATTTGGACTTCTGAACAGTGTTGGAACTGTTAAGACCACAGGGATTCACCGGGATGGACTGAATGTATTTTGCATTACAAGAGGAAAAGGAGTCTTTTGGGAGGCCAGGGGTGGAATGTTATGGCTTACGGATATGTGTCTGAGTGCCAGGTTGATAAGGGCTGAACTTGTGGATTGTTGGTTTTGATTATCAATTTGATTGAATTTAGAATCACCTACTACAACTAGTAAAGCACATCTCTGGATGTGTCTGTGAGTTGTTTCCAGAGAAGACGGACTAACTAAGGAAAAAGACCCACATTGAATGTGAGCTGCATCATCCCATGGGCTGGGACCTGGATAGAATGAAAGGGGAAAAAGGAGAACACCAGCACCAATACCTGCATTCTCTTTCTCTGCTTTCTGGCTGCCATGATCTAAACTACTTTGCTCTGCCATCCCTTCCCTACGATGATAGAATGACACCAATGAAACCATGAGCCCAAATAAATCTTTCCTCCCTTAAAGTTAACTGAAAAAACAAAAAAGAAATGCAATTAAATTTGGCAGAACAGATCCACGTCCTAAGCCTCCACTAAGATGATGGTGTAGTGTCTGCATATAACCTATGTCCACCCTCCCATATGTGCTGAATTATCTTGATGACGTATAATACTTAACACAATGTACACATACGAATGTGATGAGTAACTGTAATACTGTGCTATTTGGAATGACAACAGTCTGTACATATTCAATTCAGATGAAATTTGGTTAAATCCAAAGATGTAGAACCTGCAGATGTAGAGGGTTCACTGTAGTTGTTGGTTTTATTTTCATTTGTGACTTGTGCAGAATCATTCTGTGGAGTCTGCTTTCCCCATTATGTGCATATGATCTGCCTGGGTCGTTTCTTTTTAAAGAAAAGAAGCCCTGCTTCCTGGGGTGAGCACAGCTTAATAGGCCACCATGTTTAAACACCTTGAGCCAGCAAGGTTTCCACTCTGAAAATGGATCCATGTGACTTGGAGAATGCACTCAAAGTTCAGGTGCATTAGAAATCCATCCTGGCTTTCACTTCCTGCCTTTGCAAAGCCTTAGGTCCTGCCAGGGATAAGCAGCCTGCTAGGGACCTCTTAGGTCTCTATTGTTCATGTGTGACCTTGAGGATTGGTACAACCTTTCAGCCTACCAAGGACATTTAGCAGCTTATTAAGCTACTCTTTGGCTGTCTCGTTCCCTTGGAAACCCATATTAAATTTCTGGCTGATATGCTAGTCCACTGCTTGCCCTAACAAATGTCCAGACCTCAGGCTAGATACTTTTTATGTGTGTTTGCTGCTGAGATTTTAATGTCCCCGAGCATGGAATTCCTTCTCTCTTCTACTCCAAAAAAGAGCTGTCCCTTTCACTACTAGTCTTCCCAGCCCGTCTCACTGCTCAGGCAGGCCTTTGCCACCACGTGGGACCGATGAATATTGGGGGGCCAAGGAGGAAGGAATGGGAGCAGCCCCAGACTCAAACCCCACAGACTTTCAGTCTTCTTGTCCAGATTCACTAGCCTTTCTTGACTAACTGTTCTCAATTACTGTATACCACGGGTCACTTTCCAGTCTTTGATTGTTTTTAGCGATTTTGCTTATTTTATCACTGATTTCTTGACTTTCCTGAGCTCTTCATTCAGCCATGCTTGAAGACCTACCCCATGGAGGTTCCCTATAAAAGAGGTCCTGAGTGAGACCACTGAAAACAGAATCATGGTGAGACCCAGCTGCCTTCTGCTACTTGGTTCTCTGAATACTTGTGTATAGTCTTAGACTGCATATGCAAAAGCCTGTAGATTCCTCTCAGGAAGAACTGGCCCAAGAAAAAGACACACAACCTTGAAGGATACAATGGAAAAAGCTGGTTTGAAACCTGTCACCTTACAGCAAATTCCAATAGTTGGCAAGACTCACCCTACAGATCACACATTTGTAAACACCTAAGGCTTCAATTAGCTTTTTTTTTCTTTCTTTTTTTGTGGTACTGATAGATATTTGGGTTATTGTTTTTATGTACACGTCTACTGTGCTCATTTCAGCTAGGTACATGCTAGGAGTGGAATTGCTGAGTTGCAGAGTAACTCAATTTTATCAATTTTAGTAGATAAAATGGTATGGCTGAGCCAGGTGCTGGTTGCTCATGCCTATAAACCCAGTTACTCAGGAGGCAGAGATCAGGAGAACTGAGGTTCAAAGCCAGCCCGGGCAAACAGTTCTGTGAGACCCTATCTCGAAAATACTTAACACAAAAAGGGCTGGAGGAGTGGCTCGAGGAGTAAGCCATTAGTACAAACCCCACTACCAAACCCAGCTGATAGCTGGGTCCAGTGGCACGCACCTGTTATCGCAAGCCACACAGAGGCTGAGAGAGGGAAGACTGCTTTCCGGGCTGGCCCAAGCAGAGAAAAAAAAAAAAAAAAAAAAGCTGGATGTGCATGCCCGTTATGCCAGTGGCGGTGGCAAGTGGACCCAGGAGGACCGTGACCCAGTCAGCCTGCACAAGAATCAAGATCCCAACTCCAAAACAACTAGAGCAAAAGGCCTGGTGGTATGGCTCCAGTGCAGAGCACCTACTTAGCAAGAGTGAGGCGCTGAGTTCAAACCCCAGTCCCACGAAAAAAAGGTATGTCTGAGCAGTTGCAAGAGATAACATAGCCTGCAAGGCTAAAATACCATTTGGCTCTTTAATGTTGCAGAGTCCTGGGTTAGACAACAAACTTCTCCAAAAGAAAACACACACACACACACACACACACACACAAAGAAGAAGAAAAGAAAAAACAAACAGGTAATAAATTTCCGCTTTACTTGTTATTTAATTACACGCATCTTAGGCTGTAAGTTCTCTTTAAGCACAGTACCAGGTGCACCTCATAAGCTTCAACAGATTCCATTTTCACTGACAAGCAACTAAATATATTTTCTGATTTCCACTGTGATGGATTATTTTGAGGTCTATGCCTATTTTCTACCCATGTAAGGATTTTTTTAAATACTATTTCTATAATTGGTTTATGGCTTAATTCCAATGTAATTGGAGAAAATAATTTGTCTAATTTCAATCTCCTAAAATTTAAATCTTATGTAGCTTAAAACATGGTCAATTTTGCCAATACCTTAGGTGCAGCATTCCACATGTACTTTTCCAGTTTACCGACCATCTTCTCTTGATAGTCTATATTCACACAAATGTTTGTGTGTGTAAGCTCTCCCAGTTACTAAAAGAAATGTGTTAAAAGTTCCCATGATGGCGCAGGTTTGTCCAGTTCTTTCAGTTTTGGCAATGTCTGCTTTGCATACATTACTAGGTGTACGAGGATTAGAACTGCTCACCTTCACAATGTTCTGTGATGAGCTCTACTAACACTTCTGGAATTTCTACTTCGTCTGGTGCTATATTATCATCTAGACATAAATGTTTTCTTTTTCTTTTTTATCCTATTTATATTTTCAATCTTCATTTTATCTTCACCTTAAAGCCTATTCTATACTATTCTAGGTACACAATTCTAGGTGAGAGGCCAGAATACTACTTAGCAATAAAAACGAAAGAATTGGTAATACACGCAACATGGAAGGATATCAAAAATTATGTTGGACAAAAAAATTCTAGTACAAAGAGTAAGTGCTGGACAGACCCATTATGACAGTAGTGATATAAGCTCAATTTTAAACACTCTCAAAGCCAAATCCACATAATTCACTTTCTACTGGAAAAAATGATCTTCAAAACCACAAAGTATTACTAATAGGACAACAAAACTAGAACAGCCTCTGCCATGGAATTTGTATTTGCAAGAAATGAATATAGTAAAGATTCTTTTCCTACTTATCAGCACAAAACTTTGTCCTTTCACCCCAAGTATAAATGTGAATTCGGATCTGGCAGGAAATGTCACACACATTTACGAATATTAGAGAAATACACTCTTCCCTTTATAAGTCAATGAATTTGTCAAAAATTTAAACACTGTTAAGACAAGAAACAAATAAGCCAGAGTCTTCTGGCAAAAAAGAAACCAAGAACCTGGTGTGGTGGTGCATGCTCTGCAGGCTGAGGCAGGAGGACTGGGAGTCAGAGACCAGCCTGGTTACACAGTTAGCCTCAGGACAGCCTTGGCTTCATAGGGAGACCCTATCTCAAAACACCAACCAAACAAAACCCAAAAACTTCAAAAAAATCCAAATTCCCTCTCCCCCCCCCCAAAAAAAAGAAGAGCAATGAAGCATCAGGTGAGAGCAAGAATGCTGGGGAGTGCCTATAATATTTTAGATGTGAGAGGCCCAGAGAACACTCCTGGCAGTCACCATTCCTTCAGAAACAAAGAGCTGACACTGGTTTCATAATCCCACCTCTTGTAGACATAGTAACTGCGCACCCACAAGCTTTTGCTAACTAGTTATCAGCGCATTAACCTTGTGGCTGATACCCTTTTTTGTGGGGTGGGGGAGGCAGTATGGGGTTTGACTCGGCCTCTCATTTGCTAGGCAGGCGCTCTACTGCTCCACCTGCGCTGCCCAGCCCTGTCACCTGAGTTTGTTTTGGGCAGGACTTCCACCACGGGAGCCACTCTGCTAGCCTTTTACTTTGTTACTTTTACTTTGTTTTTACATCTTGCCCAAGCAGGTGTTGGACTACAATCCCACCTTTACCTCTCAAGTAGCTGTGATCACAGGCATGCGTCACCACACCCGACTTGTTCTGAGATAGGATCTCCCTAACTTTTTTCCCAGACTGGCTTAAACTTCGATCCTCCCATCTCTGACTCTCAAGTAGCTGAGATTATAGGCATGTCCCTCGATACCCGGAATGATGGATGATTTCTATCATGCCAGCATGTGTCCTCACATTTGGCACAATTCTAGTGTGACCATTTATGTCTGAGTTCCCAGGTCTAAAAATGGAATCCCTCTCGAGTCTAAATGACGCACTATAGGTTCATTTCAAAGAAGACACTGCCATAATACTAAAAGAAAAAGTAATGAGGAAAGGGAGAAAGTACAACAACTTACCTTGTCCCCGGTGGCAGTGAAAGTTGTTCAAGTGAATTACTTCTTCATTATTGTTTCCCTCTGCCATTTTCAGCTGCAGTCATGCACATTCGTGATTGCTAATATCTAAACATGGTAACCATCTGTTCCAAAGGGTAAGAAAGAGAAGAAAAGAGAAGTATTAAAAATGAAAATATTCACACTCTTGGGCATATACCCAAAAGACTGTGACACAGGTTACTCCAGAGGCACCTGCACACCCATGTTTATTGCAGCACTATTCACAATAGCCAAGTTATGGAAACAGCCAAGATGCCCCACTACTGACGAATGGATCAAGAAAATGTGGTATCTATACACAATGGAATTTTATGCAGCCATGAAGAAGAATGAAATGTTATCATTCGCTGGTAAATGGATGGAATTGGAGAACATCATTCTGAGTGAGGTTAGCCTGGCCCAAAAATCGTATGTTCTCCTTCATATGCGGACATCAGATCAAGGGCAAACACAACAAAGGGATTGGACTTTGAGCACATGATAAAAGCTACAACACACAAGGGAGGTGTGAGGATTAGGTAAGACACCTAAAAAATTAGCTAGCATTTGTTGCCCTCAACGCAGAGAAACTAAAGCAGATACCTTAAAAGCAACTGAGGCCAATAGGAGAAGGGGACCAGGAACTAGAGAAAACGTTAGATCAAGAAGAATTAACCTAGAAGGTAACACACATGCACAGGAAATTAATGTGAGTCAACTCCCTGTATAGCTATCCTTATCTCAACCAGCAAAAACCCTTGTTCCTTCCTATTATTGCTTATACTCTCTCTACAACAAAATTAGAGATAAGGGCAAAATAGTTTCTGCCAGGTATCGAGGGGGTGGGGGGAGAGGGAGGGGGTGGAGTGGGTGGTAAGGGAGGGGGTGGGGGCAGGGGGGAGAAATGACCCAAACCTTGTATGCACATATGAATAATAAAACAATAAAAATTTTTTAAAAATGAGAGTATTCAAACTCTTCCCACATACCCAGTCAAGGAAGTGGTCAAAGCTATCCAGGACTTGGGTATGCAATTACAAGCATGAAGCCCTGAATTTAATCCCCGGAGCTAGAAAACAAACGAACAAACAAACCAACCACGAACTTAAAACATAAACATTTAAATATATGTATGTATATATGTTAAAAGTTAGGTGTGGTGAGCATGCCTATAATCCCAGCACTCAGGAGGCTGAAGTAGGAGGACAGCAAGTTTGAGGCCAGCCTAGGCAACATCCTGTCTCAAAACAAAAACTAGAAATAATATATTAGTTATAACTACATATATCCACACATATGTAACACATATATGAAAGAGGCTAAGAACTGACATCCATACAAATATCCTAACAGAAAAGGAGCACACAATTAAAAAAAGAGAAACATGACAAGATGTTCAGCCTCACTGTAGTCAGTGGGCACCAAACCAGAAGATGAGTTTTTCAAACCACTAACCTAGCAAAATGGCAAGTATGTGAGAAATGAGAAATCTTTTTTTTTTTGGCGGCCCTGGGGTTTGAACTCAGGGCCTCACACTTGCAAAGCAGGTGTTCTATTGATTGTTTGAGTCACTCTGCCAGCCCTGTTTTGTGTTGGGTATTTTGAGGTAGTTATGTCAAACTAACTGACTGAGCTGGCTTTGAACAGTGATCCTCCTGATCTCTGCCTCCCAAATAGCTAGGATTACAGGTGTGAGTCCCCAGTGTCTGGTGAGAAATGAGAAATCTTATACACTGTTGGTCTGGAAAGTAACTTGGGACAGATATCCTGGAAAGCAATTAGCAAACCTCACAAGTTGAAGACGTGCATTCCCTGTGAATGAGCAAGTTCACTCTTCAGCACAGTAGCTAAAGAAACCTGCATGCATTCTCCAGGAAGTGTGACAGAAGTTTACTATAGAAGCATATATAACAAAGGCGACTGGAAAGGACCTTAATCAATACCAGCAGAGGAATGGATAAACAAACAACGATGCAAGACAGTTAAACAATGTTAAATGAAGAAAACAAGTGTGACAATTATGGACATTTATATAAAAATTTCAAACACATGACATTAAATATTAAATTAAAAATACAGTCTGCATGTGGAATGAACTCACTAACTTCAGGACAGTGACTATTTCTGGGAGAGGAGAATTGAAAAAGAACCAAAACTTGACCTTCAGTTACATGTAGCAACTTTTTTTGCAGTACTGAAGTTTGAACTCAGGGCCTACACCTGGAGCCACTCCACCAAACTTTTTTTTGTGGTGGGTTTTTTTAAGATAGGGTCTCTCGAACTATTTGCCTGGACTGGCCTCAAACTGTGATCCTCCTGATCTCTGCCTCCTGCTAGGATTATAGGCATGAGCTACAGGTGCCTGATTGCAACTTTTTTATTTGAAACAAACAAAGCAAAACATGAACATTTGTTAAATACAGACAATAAATTAGGGTAACAGAACTTTTTGTTTTTTTTAAATTCTCCACCCCCTCTTTTTAAAAAGGACACAGTGGATCACATCTCCATAGATCACTAATGGAACAGAAACACAGAAGTTGGATTGTAGGGCTAAGAAATGGGGAAGAACTACTAGGGAGATGGATTCATAAGGGAGTAATGGGGACCAAAAAACCCATGTGTGATGACGGTTACTGTCAACCTGACTGGATTGAGAGATGCCGAGGAGCACCTGGCTGTGTCTGTGAGGATTCCAGAGGCAGTCAGATCATGAGGCTCTGGCCTAATTAACATGGATGAACCCCTGATGGATTCGTAATAGGGTGGCATTACTGGGAAGCAGTAAAAGGTAGAAGGGGAGGGGGAGAGGCACAAACAATGCATACACATGTAAGTAAATGTAAAGATGATAAAATAAAAGGAGAAAAGCAATGAAAAGAAAAAAAAAAACCAAGAGAAACAGTTGGGAAAAATGTGGTACTAGATTAAATTTAGAGATATTGATTAAAAAGTTATAGCTGTTTTTAGTTAGGTAGGTAGATACCAAAAATAAACATAATATGCATTAAAAAAAAAAAGCAAGGTAGGGAGTAGGGCCTAGCTGAACCAAGTAGGTCGCTAGGGTATGTCCTTAAGGACTGTGTCTCACCCTTCCTCTGCTTCCTGGCAGATTCCATGATGCAAACCTCCCTGATCCTCCATTCCCTCCCCACCATAATGAACTGACACCTCTGAAACTGTGAGCATACAGTTGTTCTGTCAAGTATTTTGTCCCTGAAATAATAAAACTGACTAATGCACTATGTCTATTAGGGACAGAGAAAGGGGAGGTGTAAATTCGGGAATTAGCTGAGAGGTATAAGTTTAAGCCAAAGACATACTCTAGATATTGATGGGGGGGTGAGTAGTGGCTTTGGTATATCTAAAAGTCACTGAACTGTATTCTAAAATGGATGGACTTTATCTTAAAAATCGATCAGTAAACGTTTCTGAAGAATAAGACAAATTTTTTTTAAAAAAGCCCACAAGATACTGTCATACAATCCAATGTAATTGTTAAAATGAACTACTCTGAAAATCGGCAGTTTTTAAAAGTAAAATATTTATCTACATCTAAATATATATCTATGGTTTAACAATTCCACGTCTAGGTATTTACCCAGGGGAAAACCCCCAGAAAATATATGTAGAAAGAGACTCGTGTGGGGCCCTGAGTTGGAACCCCAGTACCACCACAGAAGAAAACGTGTATTGTCATAGGTCTCTACCAACAAAGGAGGCACCTACTTGGGAAGTGGAGGTAGGAGAAGCCAGCTGAAGAAAAGTTAATGTGACCTAAAAAGACCTCTGAGCAGTAAAAAGGAACTAATTCTTGACACATGCAACAAGGATAGGTCTCAGAAACAGTATACTGAATGAAAGAAGTGCAACACAAAGGAGTACACAGTTAATATTCCATTTCAATTTTTTTTTGTTGTGTTGGGAATGGAACCCAAGGCTTCACACGTTAGGCAAACACTCTAGCAGTGGGCTACACCCAGCTGAATCTTTCATTTCTATTAAGTCCTAGAAGAGGGAAAACTAGTTCATAATAACTAGGAATGAAGAGCTGCTTTGTAGAAGATGAGCTGATAGAGCTTGGGGGAACCTGGGGTGAGAGAATTTGATGAAGTTGGGGATCACATGAGTGTATCTGTCAAAATGGATAAAACTTGGGAAAAAAGGGATCAAACTGTATCTCATTTCATTGTAATAAGTTACACTTCAATAAAGTATGTTACAAAGAGTCATGAAAGACATTCTAACATAGGTATGATGAAAATTTCAGGGATAGGAGGATAAAAGGAATATTTAAAAGAGTGACAGCAAACATGGCATGTGTATGAAGATAATGTAAGCTGCTGAGTAATAGGGGAGCAGGACAATAAAGACTAAGTAACCGGGTGGTGTACCCTGATTAAAACATATATGTCTGAAATGCCAAGGCAAAACCTTCTTGAACTATCAATATACATTTAAAGCCCGGCACCAGTGGCTCACATCTGTAATCCCAGCTACTCAGGAATCAGAGATCAGGAGGATCATGGGTTTGAAACCAGCCCCGGGCAAATAGTTCAAGAGACTCTGTTTCAAAAATATCCAACACAAAAAAGGACTGGCTGAATGGCTCAAGTGGTAGAGCACCTGTCTAGCAAGCATGAGGCCCTAAGTTCAAACCCCAGCACCACCAAAAAAGCCATTAAAAAAAAAAAACAATGAAAGACAGGAAGGTAAAACAGGTACTGTCTGGGGACAGGTACCAGTGGGGGGCTGGGGGGAGGACATAAGGAAAGGGTGAAGGAGAATATGGTGGGTGTATTTTGTATTCATGTATGAAAACAGAACAATGCAACCTGCTGAAATTGATCTAAGAAGGGGGGGGATATATAAATGTCACAATGTATCCCTTCTGTACAACTACAACATGCTAATAAAAAAGGGATTATTTTTTAGAAGTTGAGAAAAATAAATTTTCACATAAAGTATACCACTGACAGTAGTAAAAATAAAACCATACCTAAATGTTATAATGATGTGTAGAACATTAAAATCAAACTACCACAGATATAACATGGATAAAAATGGACTCATTATAAGTAGCAATTAATACTGATAATGGAAT